AAGGGGGCGTTATAGATAAAAATTTTCGTTTTGTAGCCTCTAGGTCTACGGACTTGAAATTAGGTAAACACGTTTATGGTCTGATAAATTGCATTCACCAGTTAAAAGAGCATTAAAAACGTAGCTTTCATATTTGAAACCTTTTGTCAAAAAATTATGATAGTAAAAAATTAAACAGGTCTTTTTATATAGTATTCGCAAAAAATGAATTTTTTAAAGAAAAGTTTCATTAATATGTTTATTATTCAGGAAATCATTATTATTATTTTTTTAAAGTTTTTGTTGAATTTCTAAAAAATAATCATTTTTATTGTCTTCATTTTTGATGGAATATTTCTCATATCTGAGATCATCAATGAACTCAGTTCATGACAGCAGTCATGAGTTTTCAGCTAAATTCAAAGCTGACAGTGGTCTTGTTAGAAAGTTTGGACGTCCGCTTCTCTGTTAAAAAAGTATTGCGGCTGGAAAGATCGTTTAAAGGTCAAGAGAGAATTTACTTCCAATAATATTAAGCGAATAGGAGCCAAATTTGGTCGCCAAATATCACCAACTCGCCAAATTTGGAGACAAAAAAATCCAGAAGGTTCTAGAACCGAGGTTGTAACTTGTTTTGGCTCGCTGGCCACATTGTGGAAGCGAAAGATACCGGAGGGTTGCACTTTTTTAAAATGATTACATTCATTATAAAAAATAATAAATATATGTTAAATAAAATAGCGGCAGTTTTATCCAATTCATTTATCGAGCTAATTTCATATAGTCTATAGCCGTGAACACATTTAAATTCAGAATCAGTTTAATGAAACAAATGCACCCTATAGTACTTTTCTCTCTATATATTTTTTAAAAATCAGTGTGATATGGTCGATCTTTGTCGACCATATCGTGGGGTTTCAGCATAAGTTAGAGGTGTGGGATTCTCGAAATGAAGAGACATTTTAGAATTCTTAATATGACTTTTAGTAAGAGTTTAACTTAAATTACTTATATATCGAACAAACTTATATTAAGTGAGAATAAACCAAAACACGTAGCCGTAGTTAACACAGATCGCGCAATTGGATCACTTATCTAAATAATTATGTTATCTGCCTGCTCTCAATCCTAATAATATTTCGAATTCGGAAAATAATCTTCCTACCTGGAATTTCCAATCAACGGTTCAATCAACTTCAGATATTCAGTTAGGCTTGAGTACAATGGTATGTACCTTGTATTAATGGCGAGATTTCCGTGATTCTGGGTAGGCCGTCAATTTACACTTCTACCTTTTCTGAATTGAACTTTCTCTAAATTGCCATCATGCTTACTAAAACTTCTGTCCTTTTAAAGGTTATCTTATTTGCATCTATCCTTCGTTTCACTTCTTGGATTTGGGTTGAAAAATATTTGCCATTAATCTTGGCCGTCAAAGAACGCAGAGGTTATGTTGGAGAAAGGACGCGTGAGCCGTCACATCAGGACTGAGATTGCTTGTCTAAATTCTCCTCACAGCCGGCAAGTTTACGTCAGCCAATTTGTATCTATATTAACTCTTGTTGATCCTCATGCAAGAAAAATGTTGCTCACAAATATATTAACGTCGTTATTAATATATTAGTCGTTATATATATTATATAACGACTAAAACACATAAAGAATATTTCTCCCCCAAATTTCTTCATACATGAAAATTTTTCAGATGACAAAGATTTGTGTGTGTAAAAGTTATTGTCGTAGCATTGAACATTACCTTCACACTGTGATCTGACTTCAGTTAATAAGTTCCAACTGTAGCGTCCGTATTGCATGAATATCAGTAGTAACGGGATAACAGAGCAATTTGAATTTAGGCTCAATATTCTTATCACCCTGAAATCTTCTTTTGTGGCCTCGTCCTCCAAACTCTGCAGATGATCTCTCAGTAGAAACATTTTCAGATATTTTGTTTTCCTAGTAGCAGAGGCGTAGCTTCCACCGTATTAGTGATATGGAACCCAAAGCTACAGGGGCCCCAATATGTGTAACTACAGTACCACTAAGTGAGCTTTCGTTTAAAAAAAAAAAGGGCCCCGAAGGAGTTTTGATACGAGGCCCACTCAGAACTAGCTACGCTAGTGCCTAGTTGTGAAAAATGAAAGACGGATCTGATAGCGTATGGGAATGAGATCTCTGTTCAAAGCGGAGTTTTGACTGTTTTGGAGGGCCGCTGGTTGCCCACACCTGTTCTAAAATGATTGTATGACAAGAAAATTTCAGAAGCTCCTGGAATAAGAAAGACTAATCTTTTTGAGAAGTGAGTCAAATTTCGGGCATTGTTTTTTAGTACAAGTCCGTGGATCACTTAATTACATGAGGGGGAGGGGAGGTAAAATAGATATCAAGAATTTGAACCACGTTTTAGCATGAAGACATTGCAGTTGACCTTCATTTGACATTCATTTTTTAAAATTCTCTTTAAAAATAATATTTCCTTTTTGTTTCATAGTTTTTGCAGAAGAAAAGCAGCAAATAAAGGTTAACATCTAAAAATTATTATCATTGAAAAATAACACGAAATATGCATAGCTTAGTTGCGCTTTTGCAGAGGTAGAACAAAAAATAAAGAAAAGAACAAATATTATCAAAAATTCTTCATTCATAAGCTTAGTTACATATATGTGTATGTATAAATATAGTTAACACAAGTATATTTTACGTGAAATTCATCGTTCCTTATTTTCAGATATTTTCATTGACAGTAAGTTCATATTCCATATTCCTTTCACCGCCAATTTATTTCCCAAGTTTATTTCTGTTGGTAGATTTTACAAAATTTACCGTGAAGAATAATTTTTCACGTGAATATATTGACCAACCTTGTTAAAAGAGCATTAACAAACTTTATTGAAATGAAATATTGGGGAGAATCCCCAAAAATTTTGTAAATATTTTTTTTTTTCTTCCTGAGGATTGTTATATTCTCGGGGGATTTCCAGAAAATTTTCCTTCCACTTCTAAACTCAAGCTTTCAAAAATTTATTTTTATACTTCATACAGTCTTTATAAGTTCAACTAATTCTATTTCCAACTCATTGATATCTAGCAACAAAAATTGCTTCAAAATTTCTTTTATAAGGGTATAAAATAAAACGAATTCCATTTTCTGAATTTTTTTTAAAGTAATTAAATCTTTTCTGAAAAGCTTGTTTTATTTCTTGCATAATGATTAAAATTCATTTATTGCATTTTTTTTTTTAATGTCAAGGGTATTTTCCAAAATTATTGTGCTTTGAAATTGTTTTTGAAGTTGAGGAAAATATTTCATGATTTTCATTTCCAAAATCATTGGTGAAAATGTCAAGCTTCGTCAAAAAAATTTCAATACATCGAACCTCCATATTCCGAACCTCTATATTGCGAACTTTTTCCTGGAACCAAGAGCATTTCACGATTTCCTTCGTAAAATGACCTCCTAATAGCGAAGTACATTTTCTATATATCGAATTTTTTCTCTTATGATTAAATTTTTTCCCCTCCCTATTTTTAAAGTATTTCTGAACATTTCAAGTTATTCTTTCTTTTAACACATTTTATGGTGGTCATAAAACTTGAACTGGTCTTATTGGGTACCTACTTCACAGAGAGGAATAGAATTCTGGGCATTTCATCCAAGAAGTGCAACCTTTAACCCTCATTGTCCAATTCACTAGAAACATCTTCGATATCCCCTTTCACCCTCAGTGGAGTTGTTTTGTGTCTCCGTGTCCTTGAACTAGTCTCCATTCATTTGTAGTTTTGAGCAGTCGTACTGGTAATTTCGTTTCTTGTAGTTCGAAAATGTCAAAACGTAAGTGCTTGAGCATCAAAGAAAAAAATTTAATTCTTCAGGAAGTGGATAAAGGCGTCAAAAAACCTTCCTTGCAGTTTTTTTTTTTCTTTCTCTTCTTTTTTTGATAGGTAAGATATATAAAATAAATATACATCAGTTTACAAAAAAGGGGTGAATAATTTCTTTTTTTAAATATATAGTGTTCGTGAATTTAAAATTGGTTTTATGTGCTTTATCAAGAAAATTGAAAGATGAACCTCTATATAACGAATTTTCCATACAACGAACTTTTTTTCGAGATTTAGAGACTTCGTTATATAGAGGTCCGACTGTATTTTCTTACATCATTAATACTAAAAGACTATTTTCTTGAAGCTTTTTTTAATTCCTCTTAATGTCGAGAGATGTCACATAAAACATCAAAGCATTTAATCAAAACAAACTTAGGAAAATTCATCATAACTCCTGTCCATCTTCGTTCAAAAAGAGACTGAGAAACTGAAAAATCAATTAAGATATTGACCGCAACAAAGCCTTCGAACATTGTTGTATGTCAGAATATTGACACTCAATTTCTTCTAACAATGGTGTAAATTCTCATTTATTAAGATTTCTTCCGTTTATACAGTTGATATTTTTTAGCAATTGGCATTATTATGGACATTTTTAAGCCCCTTGTTTCTCACACAGAGTTTACTGATATATTAGGCAATAGAATTCAATCAGAAAATGTCTAATATTTCACATGAACTTCTGAATAAGACGAAATTTTTTTTCTGACATATTGGGTGCACCATCTGTTGTAACAGAAACAATATTTTGTTAGTCAATACTCATTTTTTTTAAATGCATTTTTAAATTCTTTGAAAATTTCAATACATATACACATTTTTTTTAACTCTACTAGTTTAATTAGATCTTTTTTCAATTTCTACTATTAGTTCACTCTCTCCCTATATATATAAATATATATATATTATATATTCTTGTTCAAATTTATTTATGTTATTATATTCTTGTTCAAAATACTTTCTATTCATCTATTCAAGTTCAAATATATTTTTTAAAACTTGTAGTGGTTAACACTTGATGATAATACAGTTTTTTGAAATATTAATTCTTTTATTGAATTAAAAAAAATGAATAAATAGCATTAAACAAAAATAATAGTTCAACAGCATGCCTATAAAAGAAAATTTTTCGCTGTGTCTCTGTAGCGCAATGTATAACACGTTGGACTTTATATCCAACTGTCGTGGGTTCGAATCCCACCAGGGATGGCCTAATTTATGAGAATGTGATCTTTTTTATTATATTATTTTATTAGAATAATTAAATTTAATTAATGAATAAATTATAACAAACAACAAAAATAGTCCAACACCATGTACAGAAAGGAGAATGGAAAATTGCAAGGAAAATCCGCTTCCTATTTTGTCGCTTAATATTGTGATCCTGTCATATGTATATACATATTTATATTAATTGTAATTATTTAATAAAAAGTCACTAAAATAAATAGGAATAACAGGAATTGATTAAAAATTTTTTTATATTACTTGTTCATTATATTATTCGATTTATATCGAACAAAAACTGCTACCTGTGCATTTATTTTACTGTAGCCTATTTATAACTCATTTAATCGCTTTATAATCAAATCTTTTTCTTTAAAATTTATAGACAAAGAAGCACTACATTCTAAATATGTCTTTTCAGCACATCCTTCTTCTGATAGAGCTTTACAATAGCGGGTGATGCAATGAGCTACTTGAAAACTAATAAGTACGATATTTTTAAAGGAATAAAAAAGTTTTTAAAATGCTTAATCTTGTGTATGATTTTGGTCCCTCTTTTGGTTTCAAATATTCTTTCCTTCCTTCATCTGTTGCGAAGTCGAGATAAGAACGCAACTTTTTATGGTGCCTTTTTATATTGTAAGAGCAAATACACTTAATATTTGGGAAATAATGTACATCAGTGGCGCTACATTAAGGGGGTCCGGACCCCCCAAGCCTTGATTTTTCCGATTGGTTATAATTCTAAGTATACAATACGTAAAATTTAATTAAATATTTGTTATTAATGATTAATTTTAATAATTAATGCTGATTATTTATTCAATCATTAGTTTTTTACTGTGTTTCGTTCTGAAAATCGACAAAATCAAAAATAGCATGATACAAGAATGGTGAACTTTCAACCCCGACCCCTTTGAAAATGTTGTGTACGCTACTGATGTACATATATACAAGTTTTTATGGAAGGAAACAAATTTTTGTAACGAAATTGTAATAACATTCAAATTATACATGTTGTTGTCCTAGTTTTGATATAACTTCTCGTATTTAATTTATCGAAGGCAACTGAAAATTTCGTTTCTTTGGATATTTAGCGAGTTTAAAACGGCTTGGCCAGATTGACATTTAGTTTTTTGTCGAACCAGTAGTTAAAATGTTTCTTTTGATTTCTTATGATCTTCATCTTATACAGTTGGATCCCGATTTAACGAACCCCTATTTAGCGAATTATTTTACTAACACGATTAAAATGAAATAATTTTTTTCATCGCAGGCCTGTGTAATTACATATAGGCAAATTTGAATTTATGTGTACTTCCTATTGCAGGGATGGCGAATCAGTGCACGCGTGCCTTCAATGTCACGTGACCAGTAGCACACAGGAATTTTTCAAGGGGAGGGGGTCCGGGGTCGAAAGTTCACCATTCTTGTATCATGCTTCTTTTGATTTTTTCGATTTTCGGGAACAAAACACAGTAAAAAACTAATTATTGAATAAATAATTAGCATTAATTAATAAAATTAATCATTAATAACAAATACTTAGTTAAATTTTACGTACTATATAAGAATTATAATCAATCGGAAAAATCAGGGCTTTGGGGAGGGTGGACCCCAGGAACCCCCCTTGTGTGCGCCACTGCACGTGACACAATATTTTGGGCACGCCAGCGATGAAAATGGTTTACACTTTATTTCAAAATAACAAAATTCACTATGAAATATCACGAACAAACGCGAGTGATCGTTCGCGGGGTGGCGGGGAGCCACACTCGTTTGTAATTGTCTCTTAGTTACGTTTGGACTATAGTTGCTTATGATGCAAAATTTGTCTAAGCGCAGCATAGTCAATTTCGTCGACACAACCATATTTTAAATTTTATTTGTGTTATATTTACGATTTTTAGCTGTTATTTAACATGACTATCATTTAACAAAAGAACAAGTGCAAGCTAGTAAGTGTAACAGAAAATTTCAAATGATTAATCTAGAAATATGGCATGATTAGTGAAGGCGAGAAAACGGCGTGTGTTTTATGTTCTGGAACAGTGAGTGGTATGCAAAGCATCGTCTGTAAAGCTGCATTTTGAGACAAATCACAAATCCTCTTGTCAAAAAAGTGAACCACAGAAAAAATAATTAATTGCTTAGAAACCATTTGGCAGATGACTCCAATACAGCATGCATTCTACCAAAATAACATTTTATAGTCCTAATATAAGTTATTTGTCATCCACACAATCTGCAACAACAGAAGTCATACTAATGTTGCTTTAATTTGAATTACATGTATAACTGAAACATTTACAACTATAGAGTGCAAAAAATATTTTTTCGTAGTAAATAAAGAGTTTTGAGTTGTGTGTGTGAATGTGTGTGTGTGTTAGTATTTAGTTTCATTATTTTCCTAATAATCACAAGTCAAAACTATTTGTCGGCACATCTGTACCTCCTTAAACACTTCTTCAGAAAAAATGGCACGTTGATCCATAAAGGTTCGCCACCTCTGTCCTATAGTGTCCTTGAATGAAAACGGTATTGGAAAATATGAATAATTTATGACCTGTTAGTCGGAAATGAATACGTAATAAATACGTTTCGCAAATTCAGTTAACAACGTTAACAGTCAAAATCTGGTTTGGAAAAATAAATATTTACGAAAATATTTCATCAACGTCACAAAATCCAAGAAAGGGTCACCAAAATTAATTGTTATATAAAGACAGGTGAAGAACTTGTTCGTCTTTAGAATGAGCTAGCAGAAACACATCAAGAATTAAAGAAAAGAAGTGAGATTTCTTATTTACTAACACTTCCGAAGATTGTAAGATTCAAAGTTTGATTAGAGTCGATTGTTAGTCGTATACCAACGATATTCGTTTAAAAAAACAATGACTGGATTCGCTCTTCTTCTTTGACGTTTCTAATAGAGAATAACAATTCTGGAATTCTGGGAGGGGGAATAAAAGAGAGGAGAAAACTATAAAAATGTACTGATGACTTAGATGAGAAATTAGAAGATTATATTTTATATTAATGAATAAAAATTATATATAATCAGAGTGAGTACATTAAAAAAATAAATCTACCTGAATATTAAAATAAAAAATCTACAGAATTTGTTCAAAGCTGTACCGCTCATGGAGATAACGCAGGAGGCCACAAAAAGTCTTACACGAACTTTTAGAACGTAACACGATAAAAAAACTATTTCATTACTAACCACTGTGGTATCCTTTCTCCGTGGAGAACTTTAATAGTTACTGTAAACACACAATTTGCTCACACACTGTTCCTCTACTTCCGAAATAAACAGTCCTTAAAATATAGAAGAGTTCTTTCCCAATAAATTTTTTGAGTAAACAATTTAGAACAATATTTACCCCTTTTTTTTGCCCTAGTTAATTCATCCATGTTTTCATAAATCTCTTACATAAGTTACTCTTTTTGTTTTACAGATGGCAGCACCAGCTAGGCTAAGAGGAGGAAATGAATTTTTGATATGTGTGGACTTAGCTTAAATAATATACGTGCTGCTATCTTTTGTTGCGAATAAGAACTATTACTCCTACTTTTTTTTTTTTTTTTATTTATCATGCTTACATCCCAACAACATGATTTGGAATTAAAAGGTTACTGCTCAATACACTTTAGAAACGAATATTGAAAATTGCCTCACACATTAAAGCTAAATAAAATCAGCAACTGCAACAAGCTCCAATAAAATCATCACAAAATTAATTACTTATTTTTTTCTTCTGCCTTCTTTTCTTAAAGTCCAGTGGGTATTAAATTTTAAATAATTCTGATTTGGTTTTCTACTTTGACTTTATCATACTTTCCCTAAATAGTCAATTGGAAATACTTGAATTGAAATATATGATGATAAATACCAAAATTCAATTTTTTTTTTCAGTTATAATTTCCTGGTGAATCCACTTTGTGAAATAAATCAGAATTTTCATGTCAAAATATACTGTTTAGGGGAGATAAGTAAGTACTCCTCTGAATAAAAAAAAATTTCCATTTTTTAACTGAAAATTTAACCATTAAAAAGGGAAAGTACAAGAGAATCAGAAATATTGTTATTCCTGATGGGGGAAAATTTTTAAGGGATTTTTTTTTCTGATTTATTTTAGTAATGCGCATAGAAATAAATAAACATTTTTTTGTTTGAAATTTATGATAACTGTAGTAACGACCAGAAAAGATCTTAGGAGATTCGCAATTGCTTCTGAAGATTACTTAGATTCTTTTTAGGATTACTCTAAATTTCCGTCCCCCACCCCTTCCTGTTTTTGAAATTAAGCTAAAAAAAAAAATCTGTGATATTTGTTTTGATATACTGATTTGTCGCTATTTTAAATTAATTTAAAATAAAACTCCCTTTTTAAATTAATATTTTATTCAGTGTGTTTTTTTAATGCAAACTCTTTCTGAAAATGCTAATTTGTATATTTTGCTCGATTGCCAAAATAGCTCTAGAATTATAAATGTCAATGTGGACATCGTACATCTTAAATAATTTTTAATCAGTTTCAATTTAGAAAGGCTACTCTCACAACTAGCATTACTTATGGCATCTCTGAGGAATATTCTCAGCATTACAACTATATAAGTATACTATATATACCCTCCTTTTTCAGCTTGAACTCAAAAATAAACTTTAATAAACCTAATGAACTGAATCAAATAGTTCGTTCTTACTGTCAATTGCTGACCTATAAACGTTTTCTCAAATTTAAATTCTTCTCTATCAACATCTTGAGGTGATTCGTCGAAGTTGCAAATCTGTCGAAGCTGAAAGGTTTTCCCGTTAGTGTGGTGTGAAAGTTAGGAGAGGGGAGGAGGACCTCAAGTGTTGTCTTCGTCACTTGACCATGGTCCAAATTTACGAGGTCCGTCGCTAAATACCATTGAGTATCTGAATAGTGTGACACTAATATTCAATCGCTTACTTATTCCTCATCATTGACACC